TTCTATGAATATATTTATTGTTTATTTATTTTTCTTATTTACCAGGTGCACCCTCTATACGAGCGTGTGTTGTAAAGTTCTCAGAGAAACCAATAAAAAAATTATGGTCGTTTTGTCAAACTTTGTAAAGTAGGTCATTATCATATGCGTGTGTATGTGTGCAGCCTAATTCTCAAATTATTTATACCTACAGAACTACATCAAGTTTAGATATTTAAACAAGAAGCGACTAGCTGAGAAAAATAATAATCTAGCGAATACGCATGTCATGTTATCACGCTTATTTATTTAATAATTTGCCTAGATTTGATTAGATCTTGCTAATCCTAATCTATTTCTTTTCGGATTGGTGGATCCCATTAAAATAACTATGGAGTTATCACCTTCTAATAAGGGAATGACTCTGATTCTGTGACTCTCTCTCTCTCTCTCTCGCAGCTGAAAGAAAATAAAAGGAACTATTTTAGAGTGTAAATGAAATAAACAGCCCGAGTATCTTTCATTTTATCTTGAAAGTAGTAAAATATTTTAAAAGAAGTTGTGTAGACATATTTATGAGTAGTGAGGATAACAGAGGAAATTGTTCCACTTTCATTGATAAAGCGTGAGTAAAATAGCAGCGTTTAAAACTTTTTGATGTTAAAAATAACGAATGAAACAAAGCCGAGATGTGTATTCTAAACAGTAAACACTGGCTGCATCGTATTTGGAATCCTTTGAATGAAGTTCAGTGCAATTATTCGAAATTTAAAAATAGTAAGAAACAGTTTTAGAAAACAGATAAATAATATCCATCTGTCACAAAAAGTGAGTCAGTCTGAAGTCGAGACAAGATTGGAAAATTTATATGTTTTGTAGGGTAAAAGTAAAGATAATATTCAACACTAAATAATATTTTTATATAGGTGCCGACAAAATACTTTCTAAACGCTTTAAAAAAATAAAAGAAAAATCTTCATGAAACTTTTACCTTAGTTTTAATTCTAAGCTAATACATTAAAATTTCTAATATTTTCTATTTTATTTTATTGTATAATTTTATTTTTATTTTCATACAGCTTTTTATTCTATCTTGTTTGGATATGGAAAATCTTGTAACGTGGCGGGTAAATTAGGGTTGATGTAGTAGTAATTCTGACTTGATATCATTTCAGTGTTGTTAACGTAATTACACCGTTGCTATATGTATTTGTAGTATAGGAGGAATCCTTTTCTCTTTATTTTTATATTGAAAACAATAAATTAAAAACGTACAACAATAATATAAACAACAAAAGCTTGAGAGACGTGTTGACAGAAATAACAAGAATTAGTATGTTTTTTGTGATGTCATTTATAGAATATTGGTATGGTGAATATAAAAGAATGATTCTAGAGATCTGCTTGCAGAAATGCCGCTTCATTTCTCACTGGTTCGCGATTAGTGACATTATGTCATGGTGAAAGCAACTATTGTTTCTCATTCGGCTGCTAGACTAGGATGTTCGTATCCTGGCCTGTACGGTTTCTGCTTGGTTGGTCACAATATAACTTCATGGTCTAGTGATTCTGAATATACATCTATTTTTAGAGATTATGAAATTTTGGTCACCTTATTATTATTTATTTTTATTTACTTTTCTATCTTTTTCAATAAAATTCAGTGTCATGATTGGGTATAATATGATAATTGAAATTTAATATTGTCCTATAAATTTTGTGTAGGGTGAGCCTCTTTTAGACGACACGATGTAATCTATTTTTTAGACATGAAAACGTTTGGTTCTGAGACTGAAGAAATTTGGAGGTACGACAAATGAATCTGACCTGCGCCAACCGTTAAATTCTCTTCACATTTTGCTATTATACATTTTCGACAAGAATTTGTGGTGGATTCGAAAATACACAAAAATAAATAAACGAAAATACATCTCAAGAATAGCCTACTGTCTGCTGTTAAGGCAAGGAATGGTTTGTTAATTTTAACGCCTCCAAAACGAAGCTATCTATCGATCACCTGATAGATTCCTTCATGCCTGCCATCAATATGGCTGATACTAACCTCCACAAGAGTGACTTGTTGCGCGTTCTCGGACTTATAATTTCGACTGACACGAACGGAAAGTTTATATTGAATACTTTGCTAGGTATAATGCTAAGAAAGTAAGTTCACTATGTCCTGCTAGACAGTTTTTATCGCCTGAATATATCTTACATATTTATAAGTCTACTATTCCTTAAGGTCTTGAATATTGCCGCCACATATGACCCGGTGCTTATGCTGTATATTTTGATATTTTTGATAAAAAACCAGCAATATTATTCGTCCTGACCTGGCAGCAGTTACTTTCTCACCGCCGTAATGTAGCTTCTCTGTGCCTTTTTCATAAATACTTTCACGATGATTGTTCGAATGAACTTGTTGGGATTGCTATGAGTTTGAATTTGTTATCAGAAGGTTTTTATATTAAGATAGTTAGTTTACAGGCATGTTCACCATATTAATCAGCAACAATATAGAATATAGACATTCAAAAACGAATCAATCACAAGGCAATTGAATAAGAAACACCGGTAATTAGGTTTCAATAAAAACAACAGACATTTATGTACAATTAATATACAATTAGAAAACTTGTGGTTTGATAATGCAAGAAGTGACCATGTATAAATTGTGTGTCATATTGATTTACAGTTCAAAATTGTTCAAGTGTTAAAGAATTGGTCAAACAGAGTAAAATGGAAAATGTTACTTATACAGAAATTTGTGTAGTTTGTGTGAGTGAATAAAGTAGAGTATAAATGTCTTAATTTTCTAGAGTTGTTTACCTTGGATTGTTCTGTGTTTATCTTTTGTTAAAATACAATTTCTATGTTAGTAGTGTGTAAAAACACTTTTCTCAGAAAGTTGTAAGTGAATTTTGAGAGAATAATGTTGGTGTTTGAGTCAGCAGTTGACGCGCGAAAAGTTTCTTAAGTCAAAATAGTGACACGCGTGGAATCGTGTGACAACTCTCTGAAGTTAAGTGACTGATTGGTGAATTGGGTCGAAATAGTCCTTTTTATTTGTTTCTGGAAGTAGGCTCTAGTGAGCTAGGTGCGAAAATAGATATTCGACAATTGTTACACATTTTGGTGTCGTCTCGACCAATAAAAAATCGAGATTTGCAATGTGAGGTGTTGGTTGGTTAAAACTGATTCTGATGGAAGAGTGTATTTTATCTCGGGGTTGAGTAGAAAATATGGACGATTCTATAAACTCTTCGCCATGACATCTAGATTTTATGAATGTACTAGATTGGTGGCAAGTTTTCATCAATTCAAAGTTGAATTGGCTAGCTGTAACCGCAAATACAATGATAACAGTTGCGTTTTTTGCACTTCTCGCTTGTAGAATTCTCTTCCGGCTTCATGCTTTCTTGCCAAATTTGATTTTCAAAAATTTAAATGCAACGTCAATCGCTATCTATTGCCCTCTTGGTTACTCTTCTTTTGTTATTGCTCTTTAATGTTTCTCGTTGTTTTATTCATAAAGATGAAGAAGAGAGCCGAGAGATGTTGTTCTACAGAATGAAGCAAAGGATATCATGGACCGAGCGTGTGAGCAACGATGAGGTCTTAGAGAGGAAGCAATCAAGGAGGAAGCTTATACTTAACATCAGGAAGAGGCAGCTGAAGTTTCTGGGACACATAATGAGGAAGAAGAGCCTTGGGAATCTGATACTCACGGGTCGAATAAAGGTAAAGAGAGACAAGGGAAAACAATGCATGACATACCTGGCGGCCTTAAGTAAGTGGATGACAAAACGTAGTCTGGAGGAGGTGGCAGAGGGAAGGAAGTTGTTGAGAGCTGCAAGGGATAGAGGGAGGTGCAGAGCCATGATCACCAACGTCATGAAAGGACACGGCATAGAGAAAGAAAAAGAATCCGTTGTGTCTTAATGTCTCTATTGCTTTCTACGGTGTGACATGATTTAAAATTATTCAAAATCCCAATTTCATCAAGTCTAGAAAATCGCTATCTATAAAAGGCAGGATATGTGTGTGTGTGTGTGTGTGTGTGTGTGTGTGTGTGTGTGTGTGTGTGTGTGTGTGTGTAACGAATGCACGGCCACAATTTTCGACGGATTTGCACCAAAATTTACATGCACATGATCCAAGTTAGTGGGAAGGCCAAGACTGACATTGCATTTCCCAACTCCAATCGATAGTGGAAATAATCGATTTTTCATGTTTCTACGGCAGTTTTCATGTAGATTGCGGCCATTATCTACTGCCCAGAGTGAGAGCGAATAGCTAGCTGCCACGAATAGGCAGGAAGATTCTATTGGCCAGCGTGAGAGCCAACAGCTGACTGACACGAATGTTAACTAGCATGCAAGAAAAAAAATCGATAGCTGCATTCGTTACAAGTGGGGAAAAATTTAAATCTGGCACTTTACTCCAATTGACTCATTCGCTTGCTTAAACTCAACGTTGATTCTGATTCTGCAGAACTGGGTTGGGTGTGAAAAAGTATTTGTTGTTAACATTTTTTTTCATTCGGTTTTTCCAGTTATGAGTCCTTTTTAAAGCTGATCGTTTTGTGTTCATTTTGTTTAATTCTTTTTCGTAACAGATTTAATGTTTAGTATAGAGCTTAGAAAAATTCGCAGTGTGAGATAGGCGAGAAGTAAGGCATGTAGCAACATCAGCACGGCAAAGGGCACTCCTTTAAAGGCAAGGAAAGGCAAAAATATTTTAAGTCAAGTGATAGCGATTGCTGTATGAGTCGTACGATTTTTGAATCAAGCACGGGCAACGCCGGGCCATACTGCTAGTGTAATATATGTCATTTTTGTAATGAAAGAGAACTTCTTGGTATCTTTTTGTAAGTCAAATAGTATTTGAAAATTCAAAATCCCAATTTCATCAAGTCTAAAAAAGATAATATATTTTTGTAACAAAAGATAAATTCATGTTATCTTTTTGTAAGTCAAATAGTATTTATGTTTCTAGGGCTCATTTCTATGAATCAGAAAATGAAGGAGTGTTTCTCCCCCTACACACTGAACATTGTTTTTTCTATCTCAATAGTTTTTTTTCCAGTTTTCTCTTTCTCTCTCTCGTCCAATTCCCGACCTCATTCTTACCTATTCAGTAGTTCTCCTTTGCAGCCACACGGGTTGGCCAGTGTACTTGGAATCTTTATGCAGGTTGAAACTTCCTCCCTTCGAGGATGGACGCTTATCTCACAGATAAAAAACACCTGGAACTTATACGCCATGATGTGCCTTTTCTTCTTTCACTCCTTCATAATTTTCTTAATTGTTTTTTAATCTTTCATTTCCCATATTTGGCTTTCTATAAAGTCTCTTATTATATTTTCCTTTCTTTCATTCGTTAATTATCAATTTTAAATCATTTATCTTGTTATTTTTCTCTTCACATCTTTTTTTTTTCATTCTGATTTATTTCCTTTCCTTTCAGTTGTTTCATTTATTTTCTTTCATCGTTTTTCCTTCTTTTTCGTAGCTTATTTACTCAGTCCTTAACGTTCATTTCATTTTTTTAATCTAACATTTTTCTCTTCATCACCCTATTTCTTTTCTTTTATTTCCTTTCCTCTTTTTTTTGTCTCATATTTCTTTCATTTTGTGTCGTTCTGGTTTTCTTCCTACATTTTCTACCATTTCAATCTTTCCTCTCTTTTCTCCTGCTTGTTTCATTTGCTTATCTGCTCGTCTGTTGACATTTTTTCTTTCTTCTTCTGATTTACGTTTTTCAAACCTTCTCATTTATTTTCTCTTTCTATCTTTTTTTCCCTCATTTTGACTACGTAATTTTCTTCCTTTTACCCCATATTCATTTAATTTCTTTCCTTTATTTCTTCCTTCCCTTGTTTTATTACTTTTGTTTAGTCTGCCTTTCCTCTATTTTTCCTTCCATCTTTTCCCCCCATTTTGTCTGTTTTTGTTCTTTCTTTGTTTTACTATGTATTTTCTTCTTTTCTTTCATTTCTTCCTATATTTTTTATTCCCTTTCTTCACCCAATTTTTCTCCTTTCTTTCGGAGATATTTTCCTTCTTTCTCTATTTAATTTCTTTCAATTTTCACTTTTTCCCAACTTTCGTCACTTGTTTGCTTTCCCGATTATTTTATTTTCATCCATTTCTTTCTCCATGTCTTATTCTTTAAATTCACCTTTTTCTTTTTTTTTTCATTCCATATTTTCCATCATTTTCTCCTTCTTAATTACTTATTTCCATATTTTTTCCCATTTTATCTACATTCCTATCGTTCTTTCTTTTTTCCTTCTATTTATTTTCATCCTTTCCTTCATTTATTTTTTCTTCTTCTTCCTTGCATTTCTTAAATACTCTCCTTCTTTTTCTCATTAATTCTTTTTTTTTTTATTTCCATCCATTTGTCTACCTCTCTTCCGTCATTCTTTGTCTCTTCCTTCTATTTATTTGTTTTCCTTTTTTTCAGTTCTTTATAACCTTGTTTTGTTATTTTTTTTCCCTCTCCTTTTTTCTCTTTTCTTCCTTCCTTATTTTCTTCACACTTTTAATTCTCGCCTTCTCACCTTTCTTGTTTTTGTCTTTCTTTCCATTCGGTCGTTCCAATTTCCACTTTTCTTTCACTTTTTATTACTTACCTTTTCTATTTCCCTTATCCTCTTTCCCTACTCCGCCTCCCTAACTATTCTCTACCCTATCTTTGCTTTCACCCCTCCCTATCTTATATCGCATGTTTCACTTACGATATTTCTTCCATTCATTATTCGCTACATGTTTTGTCCAGTCTATTCTCTCTAAATAAAGTGTCTATCGATGTTATCTTATCGCTTCCCCAGGAATGGCGGCTGGCAGTCTGATTTCCACAATACTTATTCTGCCAACACCTTTATTTTATTGCTCGTAGGAGGGTGTATATCTCAATGGCCGACCAGATTCCAAAAATCTTAACATTATCAACCATATCTGATCGTTTTTGTTCACCACTGATAAAACCAGTTATTAGTTTCGCAGTTGAATCTATCACCGTGGTATGCCAATTAATGAAGGTGATATTTATGGACCATTAAATGCAAGACTGAAGCGCTTTGTGAGAACTTGCACTCATAATCCGGTTTTATGATGGTTTTCCAAGCGTAGATTAGATGTGGTACAAGGTCAAAAGTATGGGACACCCTGTGTGTATCGCGTGATCTGCCTTTATGAGAAGCATTTTGAATTCATCGATATAACTATTACATTATTAAACTTTAAGGGCTCACTCAGTGACCTAAGATCATTCACTTATAGCCTTTAAAGAATTTGCATTAAACCCTTTTTGCCTGCCGTCAACATGGCTGATGCTAACCTCAATGAGAACGACCCGTTGCGCCTTCTCGGGCTTACATTCTCGACTGATAATGTGTGACAAGCGAAGCCGTCAAACATCACAAAAGTGGCGACGAGGATTCGCAAGGATTACTAGAAAAATTAATCTGCAAAAAGTTCAGCAGGCTTCAGCAGAAAAATCGAAGAATTAAAAACCCTTATGTATCAAATGCTGCAACAACAGCAGGAAGTACAATTACAACAACAGAGACTGCACCATGAACAGCAGTTGCAATTACAATTACAGCAACAAAAGTTATTTTTGAGTCATTCACTAAAACGATGGAAACAAAAACTTCAGATTCGTTTAATCCTGATGTTTTCACAAATTCAATCACCGAGTTTCTGTACAATCCGGATGAAGGAATAACCATTATACTATAGAATTTATGAAGGATTCTTTAAAAGGGATTGTGCGCACTGGAGTGAAAAGTGATTGTGTAATCATGAGACTACTTCCTATTTATTTACTTCCTTTCTGATCACGTGATCTGCTTAATAAAGGAATCGCCCGTGTTACTCACTGGCGATCTAGTTTCAAACCACAGTGTCGGCAACGACACTTACACTTATATAACAAAGTGAAAAGTCTATATTAAATCCATTGCTAGATTTGCTGTTAAGAAAGTTGGTTCACTGTGTCCTGCTAGACAATTCTTCTTTCCTGAATCTATCTTACATACCATTCGTGAAGGTCCTGCATATTGCTGCCACTGTATATTTAAAGATTCTTGATAAAATCCAAAAAACAATCTGTAATGTTATTGGTCTTGAGCCGACATCTCGCCTTCAGTCACTTTCCACCGTAATGTAGCTTCCCTGTGTCTTTTCTATAAATACTTTCATGATAATTGTTTTGACGATCTTTCCTTTATGGTATCTAGACTTAAGGAATTTAAGCCTAGTACTAAACTGGAGGTAAGGTTTCATGATTTTGCAGTTGAAATGGCGAGATGTAACCGTAAGTTCTATGCTAACAGTTTCTTCTTTGGCACGTCTCGCTTGTAGAACTCTTTACCAGCTTCTACCTTCTATCTCAACTTTGATCATCGGAAATTTAAATGCAATATCAATCGTTATCTTCTGTTTCCTTAATTCTTGTTGTTTTATTATTATACTTAATAGTAGTTTTCTTTTTTTCCCATACTCTCTAACAGTCGGTAACGCCTTGCGTCTTAGCGGCTTTATTGCCTTGCTTGAGAACTAAAATTAAAAAAAAATGAAATATGCATTAAGCAGATTTTACATGTCCAAATAAGATAGAATAAAACGTTGTATCAAAATAAAAATAAAATTCTACTCTAAAATAAAATACAAACAAGTTATTTCTGAAATAGATTTTTAAAAATAAGGAATTAAAAAATATATATTGAAATGTTTGAGATGAGTTATCGTCATTTTTGTATGATTTAATATTCGAACCAACATGCTCTTCTTCATCGTTATACTTACTACATTTCGGTAGTAGTACTCGTCGGCCTTCTTCAGATGTCTTTCAATGTACCCGGTAAAATTTTCCGAATTTTGAACCACGTGATTCAATCCATGGGAGTAAATTATCCTCATTTCACCTTCCGCTGAAAACAGACATACGCTGTTGCAATGGAGGAAATGCACAAACGAAACAAACATGAAAACAAACATGAATAAATCTTTTTGGAGGTACCATCTTATATGAAATAATAATTTAACTAATATAATATATAAGATACAATACATATACATATATATATATATATATATATATATATATATATATATATATATATATATATATATATATTAATATATATATATATTAATATATATGAATTGGCCTTCTATAATATAATTTAATTATTATATAGCGGTAATTTATAGGTACCATCTTAAATGAAATAATAATTTAATTTAATTAATATAATATACAAGATACAATATATTTATACATACATACATACATATGTATGTATATATATATATATATATATATATATATATATATATATATATATATATATATATATATATATATAATATAATATATAGTTATATATAATATAATTTAAGTATTACATGGTACCTGAATCTTTTTGAGGTACCATCTTATATGAAATAATAATTTAATTTAACTAATATAATATATAAGATACAATATATATATATATATATATATATATATATATATATATATATATATATATATATATATATATATATATATATATATATATATATATAAGAATTGGCCTTCTATAATATAATTATTATATCGCGGTACCTATAGGTACCATCTTAAATGAAATAATAATTTAATTTAATAATATAATACATACATAGATACATATATATATATATATATATATATATATATATATATATATATATATATATATATATATATATATATATATATATATATATATAGTTATATATAATATAATTTAGTATTACATGGTACCTGAATCTTTTTGGAGGTACCATCTTATATGAAATAATAATTTAATTTAACTAATATAATATACACGATACAATATATTTATACATACATACATACATACATACACACATGCATATATACATACATTAATATAATATATAGTTATATATAATATAATTTAAGTATTACATGGTACCTATTGATATGAATCTTTTTGGAGGTACCTATCTATACGAACTATTCCCTAAGTATGGAAATCGGAGTTAAAAGAATTTTGCCTCGTAGGCTGAATAAACTGTTCATTTTAAAATTCCGAGTTGTCGGCACCTTCTCGCATCCGAACATCAAGATCGCACCCTCTCTTCCTATTCCCTTTCACTACCCAATGGTGACGGTGGCGAATATAGTTGTGAATCAAATGAGTTTGACGAGGCCATTCACGTGAATTTTGTTTTGGTCAATAAATTGCGCGACGCACACACTTAGAAGCGCCTCTCTCCCGGCTCGAGAGTATTGAGACCGGCAGTTTCTGGTAAACCTGGTTGCATCGGGCTGTCAGATACTTAGTCTGTCAAGGTCCGCCTTGATGTAACCACCGATGCCATTCATTTGAATGCTGTAATCTTTCCAGCAAAGGGGAAGATACACTGGAACAGAGAATTCATTTATAGCAATGCCAGGATTTAATTTTGTTTCGCATAATACAAGGATATCCGGTGACCGTTCCATGAGAACAATTCTATACTTCTTGAGAGGTCACCACGAACATTGGAGAAAGAAAAGTTGAAATGGTTTCGTCATTTTTTATTAACTGGTTTTCTCGTTTCATTTTGATGTTATTTGTTAATATTCCAATTCAATAAAATATTTTGAAAATTTAATTTCTTGAAAATATGCATTTTTACCTGAGTCCCGACTTTATGGACACCCTGTATATATAACGACAAAAGAGCATTTCTATATTTCTCCCTGTAAAGTCTGTAGTCTTACTCTCATAATGTTATATCCCTTGAACTGGCAACGTCATGAGTTAGTGGCTTAGTTATGTCTATAGCAACCTGTCCCAAGCTGTTTACTAAGCTGGGTTTATTGACTGATTGGTTTGCTTTTACGGCTTATCAACCTGTTTAGGGTTATTTAAAGCCGAAACATTTTTTTTCGGATTGTAAGAAAGTTTTAGAGATAATAATGATTTTCTGATCAAGTCCTAATATTTCCCAAGCGTATTTGCATGCAAACGAATATAATAAAACCAAGTGGAATTTGAATTCGGATCTCTGAATTTTCATTATCGATAACACCACCCACATACCCAAACTTACATGACCCGGTATTCCCGGGTGGTTACCCATTTAGATACTGACCAGGCTCGAAGTTGCTTAACTTTGGAGTGTACAATAATAGTAATTGAAAGATGTGTATTTAGAGACCCACACTGGGAAACCTTTTAGTAATAATAAAGATGGGTTAACTCGTATTCGTAGAAGATTCGTATGGACATAAAATGGGGGATCGTTTCTCTCGCGTCAGTAAGTAATAAACTGATTCCAACAGAATTACTACATGCTAATTATAAAATATTTTTACTGATTTG